TCTATATCTATATCTATATGTTGTTGCTTTTACTTTCAGCTCATACACGCTACATTAAATTCTACATTAATTGATGCCAACCTGTATATCCTGACTGCTTTGTTAACCTGATTTTTTTTTAAGGAAATGTCTTTTGTTTCTCTAAAGATAATCAGAAGTGTTACATATACATCAATTAGAGTTTAATTGGAATGAAAAAATAACAATGATAAGTACACACGGAAGAAGCAAATATTAGCAAACATCAGAAGCATGTACTCTTGTACTAATTTCTTTTTCTGTTTCATTGTTAACACAGTCATATATCTGCCTCCCCTTTTCTTGTTCATAAAATAGAAAAAATCCTAGAGTACGAAGCTAGATAACATGTTCTAGCTTGGGTCTTTTAAAATATATAAACAATGAACTTCTGTTTGAATCTTGGCTCAACGTCTTATGGTAGTGGGGGGGGGTGGAGTGAGAGAGGTGGATGGGGAAAGAGGGGGAGGAGATGGAGAGAGGAGAGAGGAGAGGAGAGGGAGAGAGAGAGAGGGAGAGAAGGAGAGAGAGAGAGAGAGAGAAAGAGAGAGAGAAGAAGAAAAGAGAGAGAGAGAGAGAAGAAAAGAGGCAGAGAGAGAGAGAGAGAGAGAGAGAGAGAGAGAGAGAGAGAGAGAGAGAGAGAGGAGAGAGAGAGAGAGAGAGAGAGAGAGAGAGAGAGAGAGAGAGACAGACAGAAGAAAAGAGAAGAGAGAGAGGGAGACTAAGATAAAAACGGAGGATGAAATCATGCGTATTATATAAGGTTCACTCTTTATTAATGAAACGAAAATCAGCATCACATGAAAAATTACAAAAATTACAAAAGAACATGGAAGTCATCATAGACTCCTCACACTTTTTTCCCTGCATATACATTCTGAACTTTTTAAAACAATATTTTTACATGACTGTTACTCTGTATTTCTTATGGAACACTTTTTTTTTCTTGCCATGACATAAATCTTTGTTTTTCGTATAAACCTTTCGATTTATGCATTTTTCGCAATATATCCCACGCTCATGTTTTCCACCTTTCTCATGGCCTGCGGCAGACACGCAGTCGAGGCCTCGAGCACGTCCTTCACCTCCAGGAGGAATGACCTGCTGCAGGGGAGGATGTGGACGTTCACATCATCGACCCAGCTTCCGGTGAGGTCGTCCTCCCCTCTCTTCAAGAGGTAAAGGAGCTTGATGGTATAGAGTCTCCTAAGGATGACTTCTGAGATATCACTTTGGTGTACCCGAGGTCGCTTCTCGGAAGAGAAGGACTTATCCGAAGCGAGACTGTCCGCCTCCATCTTATAAAAGTTTCCTGATAGACTATATTTCTTGTCAGATATTCCTGAGAGAGACGATCCTTCGGGTAAGAGTAGTTTTTGATTGGTGTTCATTGTCACTAAGTATAGGAATTCTGGCTCTGCCGCCGCTTCCTCCTCCTGTGACACCTTCAACACAAGTCTACAGTTTACTCCAAAATTGTCTTTATCAATGTTATGAATTAATGACAAGAGGATTCCACTAACGTCCTTGCCGAAAAGAATCTGCTTGTCTTCACTTCTCACCCACATCAAACTATGCGCCCACAACTTCAACGCAGACTCCTTACTCCGAATACCTAAAGATGCTTGGCAGCCGCAACACGTCAGTTCACATTTATTGTCATTTGGAGCGACACAATCCACTGCCGCATCTTTATGAATGAGGAAATGAAGTTCGGAATAGAAACAATCGTCACTTGCAGGTTGTAGTGACGAAGGTTTGAGTTTCTCGCCCTCACTGCCATGGAGGTGACAGAACCACCCCTCCGAGGCTTGGTCCCAGTCCACTGAAGGTAAAGGTAATACTCTCCTAAACCTCACATCATTCAGTAAAACTTTGCGGCACTGCTTACACTGGGCCGTCACCAGACTATCTTTCAGGATCTCACTAAAGGTCGGGGAAGAATCCGAAATGACTGGTCCAATATTACTCAAGAGGTCTGCACTGAGTGTACTGAGGAGAGATGTCTTCTCATCCAACTGTGCTCTTGCAGTTATGTGGCTGCCATCTTGGGTGACTTTGCTAACAGTTCCTGGTACTAAAGATGTACCTCTTGGGAACTTGATATTCAAATCATCTCCGTTTTTTAACTTGACGATGCACATATATTTATCAGCCGTAATTTCCAGACAAGGACCTCTATCAGCTGATATTATGTGTTATGTAGAGGATGCCTGAATATTTGGGAGTACCTCCACCAATACCTGCGTCATTATGGATCAGCAATATCTGTAGGAATAATAAAGTTTCCAATAACTGTCAACATGACACGTGAAACGAACACAAAAAATAAGAATAACCAGAAACAGCAAGAAGTGTTGCCATATGCATGGCCAGCATTCTATGAATATTCATTAAAAATGTTACTGCTATGCTGAATGCGTCAAGGGTAAGGACGGCTAAATAGAAAATTCATTTTATTATCTTGTTCAGTCACATAAGCCTACCACATAATTTAGTACTGCCAAAGTCTTTTTTATATAACAAACGCAACCTTTAATACTTTCAACTTTTATATACCTTTGTACCAATTTCAATAATCCTAACTAATAATTAGTAACATAGTTCATGTTATTATTTCTCCCTGATTATTACACACATCATTTATTCATTATAAAATTCACAATTAGCAACTGGAGAGTCAAGAAAAAACGATTTTTTACTTTGCGAATTTGCAGGTTTAACAATAACATTGAAAGAGGTACATATCTGAACATCTACTCAAGGCCTATGAGTAAAAATACATAAATTTTCTACCGCCTACCAATATTTAGCAATAAATAACTTCTATCTTTAACTCTAAGTATCAACAATTATTTAAGAATGATATGAAAAATATATGCATACATTTCTAGCCTTGATCCATATAAAGCAAATACATTGGGTCCTCTGCTACCCTACCCATAAAGTCTACACATTTCATAATCAATTCATCACATAAATAAAAGTATAACCCGTGCATTCCTGTAGATACTTATCATAGTTAAATAACAGTCTTAAAATAATTATCGCCAATAAGCATATTTAATGGAAAACAAAACTCCTTACCATGTGTTCCACCAAGTGTATGTGAACGAATTTTTGTTTTGTTTGTAAATAAGACTGTGCATTCAAAGTTAATTTTCTGTTATCTTATATCTTAGTAACAGGAAACAATATTCACGAATTGCATAATTACTTATATATTATTGAATATATTTACTGTGATTGTGATTTAAAATGTTCAGTTAATGTAAGATATTTCGCATCAAATTAATACTTTAAATTGATTCATTAACTTGATTCATTATCTATATATCATGTGAAGATTTTTTTCTCAGAAATCGAATATAGAAATTTCAAACAAAAAATATGAACGAAGATTTTCAAAATACAATAATAAAACTAAACGTAAACGCTCTCTGTTCTTTGTTCACATCCACAACCAAGAAACTCATCCGGTTAGTTGAATTATCGGAATTAATTTTATTTTGTATGTCGTTTTATGGCTTGTTTTGGATTATTCTGTTGCGTGAAGGATATTAAGATAAATATGAAAGCAGAGAAGAAAGCATTGTTAATCTTTATGGTATGGACGCACTGAGATAGGGCAAATTGAAGATGATATTCCCGTAGAAAATTAAAAGTTGCAGTCGTTTGTACCAGAAATAATCTACAGGTACGAACAGTAACACCACGAAAAGGAAAAGGTTTACGAAAAGCGCTGCTCACAGCTTAATGCTGCGTTCGCAACTCCTCGTCCTGCTCGTCCAAAGAAGTTGGACAAGTTGTCCTTCTCGTCCATCTCGTTCTCGGAAGCTGGGCGAGCAGGATGAGAACGTCACAGTAACATTTTATGTAAACAATAACAGTTGCAGGCAACCACAAGAAAGTGATTGGTAATTTTATGGCCCTTTTTTGATGTTATCAAAGATATATTTGTGTTTGTCAGTTGCCGGTAAGTTGAAGATGCATCAAAGGAGTTACAAAACCTATGCAGTAGGAGCTGAGCCCCTCATAACCCTCCCCTTGAACCATGCCTAGTCACAGCAACTAAGATTGTTGACTAGATTTTGTGACATGGAGTAGGGGACGTCATCTGTTTCGAGTGCATCCATACTTTAAAGAATGTGGTAAATTTGTTCCCAAGTAGAATTATATACTATATTTTTTTATTTATTGAGAACCATAATTTGCCAAGAGACATGAAAAGACAATATAGATAATGTAAAAAAGTATGATGAATTCAGGGAAAAATACATGATAAAGTAACTGGGATAAATGGATGATATAAACCCTTTGAATTACAAATGAAAGCTTCAAGATAGGGGAAGAAGTGGATATGTCTGTTGATTTATATGATCAGTTGTATGGTGCTTGTAATCCTGCAAAGTTATATATATGCATATATATTTCTTTTTCTTTCTTCTTCTTCTTCTTCTTCTTCTTCTTCTTCTTCTTCTTCTTCTTCTTCTTCTTCTTCTCTTCTTGCTTCCTCTTCCTCTCCTCTTCCTCTTCCTCTTTCTTCTTCTTCTTCTTCTTCTTCTTCTTCTTCTTCTTCTTCTTCTTCTTCTTCTTCGTCTCAAATAAGTATTAGAAACATTTGTTTTAAAGGCAGTTGTTTTGTTATTTCTGTTTATTTCATTTCACAAGGTTATTTATTTTTGTTGCATTTTCATATTCCAGATCTGGCTGATATGAATATTTGCATTATATTTTCTTTCCTGTTTTTATGGCATCTTCCAGCATCATTATTTTGATAAAAATGTATTATTTAGCTTTATATTTAGGTAGTTATACATTATAGTTACCATTGTTTTTGTCATTCCAAATGTATTATATATAAAACAAACATTTCCTAGTTGTATGCAAAACATAGGAGACTAAAGCTGCATTTTGAACTTCTCATCTAACAAGTTGGAGAAAATGGAGGGATGTTTTCATCATTCGGAACTCTGATTTTGGCATCTGAGACAAGTTCTTTCTTCTGATCCATCTCACCCATATTTGCACATCGGCAAGCAGGATGAGATGACATCACAAAAGCATTCGTATATAAACAATGATATTTGTTGGTGATCATAAGATAGTTTGTATGTAATTTTATGGGACTATATTGTTATTAAAGATGTTTTTGTGCTTACTAGTTGCAGATAAGTTATCTATGCATCAAAGTAATTATGAAATATATGTAGTGTGTAAATTAAAGACACTGGTATGATAATATTGTGATACTTCTTTCTTCTTTTATAGGGTTTTAGACTTATTATTGTGATACTTAGCTGCAACATGAGACATCTCAATAGTAATTGGCTAACAGGCACAAGATGAAGGAACTTTGCAGTCAACAATAATAATAGCAATTAAGATGAGGTAGAAAGTTTTCAAAAAATTAAGGAAAAAGGTGAACAGGTGTGATTGAGCATTTGTGGAAACATGTATGTGTACACAAAATGAATAAGCTAAAATCATATGCAACATGTATGTATGCATCAATAGTGTGAAACTGAAGTCATATAATTTTTTTTTCTTTTTGTATTTATGGGAATCTTCAAACTATAATCTGTCACTCATTATATTGCAGGAGAACATTTATATGAACAGATATGTTTAACTTGATTTTTTACTCTTCCTATTTTCTGTTACTACTCTTTCTGTCATTTTCTATCATTCTTATAGTATGAATATATTTACCAGTGGCCATCAGTGATATAAGAAAATATAAAATACACATTTCAGTTCATAAGGAAATACATTATGCTTTTTTAAATTTCTTATAAGATATTGTTAGTTGCATTAAGGTACTGGGAATTGAAGATAGAAAGATCAGAAATTATGACAAAAATGGTAGTAATTTTATGAAAATCAAAGATACTATAAAAAGGTATGAAAATGATATGCAGAATAACTTTTTGAAATATACAAAATTTCAAAGGTGAGAAAATTATTTTGATGATAATATGTTTGACTGATACAGAGAAGTGCAGGAGGCCTGACTACCGAGGTGTATTTAGAGCATTAGGATAACAGCAACATGATCTTGAAGAACCTCATTCGTAAAAGCCATGGTGAGAGCTATTACTGATTTTGCGCTTTTGAAAAGGTTAATATATAGCATTAACAAAACTAATTTTAGAGGAGAAATATCATTTTTAATTTTTTGAGGGTTGGTTCACATGCAGTGTTTGGTCTTGACATCTTGGTATGCATGGGAAGGGTAGGGCTGACTTCCCAAGCTGGCTTCCATTTTTTCTTTGTGTAGGTATTCATTCTGAAGTCAGTTGACCAAAATATGCTCAGCTAGTGAAAAGTTTTTCGTAATGAAAATTTAGACATATTCTTGCTTTTATGATAAGAACAGCTTTGGCTGACATGAAATTAAATGAAGTATTAATTCCTTTTGTTGCCAGCATAATACGCAAGCTACATTCTTGATATGATTGTGTTATTATATGCCTAGTCTTTTACTGTACATATTGCATGGCTTTTGGTCCCCACTAATTTCTCTTTAGGCTAACAGAAGGATAAATTTCCCTTTGATTTTATTTTTAAGAAAGTACTTTCCTTAGACTATATACTATAAGAATATCTCATTTCATTTACCAGTCATTTGGATCCATAACTCCATGAAAAAACAGGTATCATTATTTCTTCATTCTTTCCATTATACCTTGTTTTGCTAAGCATATCTTGTGGCTTGGAGTGAAAATATGGTGCAGGTGTTAAAGATCAGTATTAGAACTGACCAGGCATATTAAGAATCAAAGCTGCATTGGGATCAATAATGACAATAGTGAGGGAAACGTTTTCCAGCAATGAAGACCAAGGTTGGCAAACAAGTTCTTAGATATTTATTGAGTTAAAGAGACAAGTGATTTTTTCCAATTACAAAGAAAGCTAAAAGACTAGAAGATTGCTAGATTACCCTTTATTAACCTTAAGTAGGAGGACTGTTGGACTAACTCTTGGAAGCCAAATAAACTGAGGAAGCTTCTGAGATTGCGTGTGTATTAGTAGTTTAGGAAATGGTATTGTTTGTGCAATTATTATAAGACCATTGGTAAATGATTTGAAAATTAGTAATATCCTGTAATGATAGATGACTATCCATCTTTTGCTTCAACTTATGTTTGACAGTATTGTCCTTAGTGTTACTGATTTGCCAAGAACACAAAAAATGTGTGGATGTATTTACACCTAGATGCTGTGTTCATGATAAAAACAAAGATTGAACAAAATGTATTTTTGTTTTCATATAGCTGTATGTTGTTGAATCTAACTCTGAAGTAATTATCATAATCTAGAGATGAAGTGGGAAACAGACGATCAGGAAGCAAGGAAAAATATGTTTTTAAAAATATGAGTATATAGTTATGGAATCTCATGAAGGATAATTATTATTCATAAGTTGATACACACAACTCATTCTTGGACCAGGATAATTGTAATTCCTTTCCAAACACAGGTATGGCTGTGGTAGAGGCAGTAGAGGGACTGGCAGGGAAGTTCCGAGGGAGTATGGCAGGAGCACTGATGGGGGACTGCTTGGGGGCGCCCTTTGAGGGAGAATCAAGGGCCTCTCGTTCTGTCCTCAACTCATACTTCAGGAGGCTAGCAGACCCTGCACTCAAGGGTAAGTGTGTTGTATGTAGCTTGTATGAATTCAAAGCCAGGTGTTTATATTTTGACTTTAGCTGTTATCATTACTATTATTTTAAGCTTTGATGAGAATATGACAATTGTAACTATATCATCATTATGTATTTGTATAGCTGTGGATATGTTTTCTAGACTTTTTTTTAATATTTTAAAAAGTATATATTTAGTGATTGTTATTATTTTTTATTTATATATATATATATATATTATATATATATATATATATATATATATATATATATATATATATATATATATATATATATATATATATATATATATGAACTAGATTATGTTTTGCAGTTCCCTACAAGTTGTACACTGATGACACAGCCATGACAAGGTGTGTGGCACAGTCCCTGATAGATGAAAAAGGCTATTGTGCAACAGACATGGCTAAAAAGTGAGTCTCTTTGATTGAATTTGTGTAAAGAAATTTCTACCATGCATTTTTATTGTTATTATTTATTTATTTTTCTTCCCTTTTAAACTAAGGTAGTCAGTGTCACTCCGGAATCTTTATTACTATTTCCTCCGCACAGATTTGTGAAGGAGTACTACAACGAGCCCAAAAGAGGTTATGGGTCCAATGTGACTGACGTCTTCGCTGCTCTCCGCGCCACAAAGTTCCAGGATGTCTATGCGCCCGCTGGGATTCAGTTTGGTGGCCGAGGCTCCTATGGGAATGGAGGTGAGGAGCTCAGGGGGGTGGAATAGGGGTAGAGATGGGCGATCTGATCTTTATTGTCTGATATAGTGCTTTATCAAGTTTTTTTATTATTAATATTATCATCATCATCAATCATCATCATCATCATCATCATCATCATCATCAATTCATTATCATTATCATTATTGTTATTGTAATTAAAATTTCAATTATAATTATGATTATAATGATAATGATGATGATAATGATGAATAATTGATTTTTAAAGGCATGCATAGTTTGTCAAAAGAAATTTAAAGATATTAGAATGAAGGGGAGGGAAGGTATTCTAATGATTTATTTTTGTGTTGGTGAAAGAAGGAGGCAATCACCCGAGACTTATTTTGCCTCCACAGCTGCCATGAGAATCGCTCCTGTTGCGCTCTTCTGTTACGATGCCCCTGACAAAGAGGTAGTTCACATTGCTAAGGATTCTTCTCTTCTGACCCATGCCAACAGGCTTGGTTATAATGGAGCGGTGTTACAGGTGATAATAGTGTGCCTTTTTTGTAAAGGCGGAAGGCTTGTTATCTGTGGAAGTCTAGATTGCGGTGAAACTTTCTTATTGATTCTTGAATTACATTTGACCCATTCAGATTACCACATTAACAGTGAGTGATTATGATTTTCTCTGTTTAATCTTTTTCCATAGTAATTATCATATGTACGATTTGCTTATAAATAAAATATTTGACTTTGGTCCTGCAACAGTTAGTGATATATATAGCTAGCAGTAATGATGATAAAAAAGTAAAAGTAAAAATTCCTGGAACTGGTTTTATAGATAGATAGTTGCAGTTGCATTTAATGTGATAAAAGTGCATTGAGATTTTCTGCCTTAGATATGTGAACAGTTTAACAGGGTTAAAAATCTCAAATCTCAAAAAGGAATTAGGCCAGTAAATCATAGCACCAAAACTGCTAATTTATTTTTCAATATTCCTTTAATGTTTTATACATACTTTTAAAGTTTTGATGTGTGATCTGTCAATAGTGTCTGGCTGTCCACCAAGCACTCCACACTCCTGCGAACAAACTAGATTCTGTGAAATTCGTAGAATCTCTCATCACCAAAATGAAGACTGTGGAAACACCAAAGGATGAGGAGTGAGTGTTCAAGTGAATGTGTATGTTTTCTTCAGTCGCTTGCTTTCATAATCCAGCCAGCATTTTCCTCTTCCTTTCACTTTCTTTATTAGACCCGTTTCAGTCAAATGCATAAGCTGTCTGTAACAGTGACAATGATTTAGGTATGTTTAAGGATTACCATAAGATAAGCTAGCTGTGAACACACAAGCATCACAAAGAAACAGCCTTGTATGCTAGATCTGAAAGTCTGTTGAATGTATCCAAACTTGACACGTAACTTTCAAAACATTTAATCTGCGCTGGCTGGTTTGAGGTGCATCCCTGACCTCCCCTCCTTGAGTCATATCAGGGCATGTGAACCCCCACAAACACTCCTGTCTGTCTCTACCTTTGTATCCCTTTGAACCAAGCTTACAGGCACATTCTGCTGTTGTTTCTACCTTTTTTATATGAACAGTGAATCACAAAATAAAAATGTTCTTAAAATCTGTGGCATGCCTCTCTCTCTCTCCCCTCTCTTCTCCATTCCTCTCTCCGTTCTTTCTCTCTTTTCACTTTTCCCCTTTATTCTTTGTCTTTTTCTATTTCTCTTGTTCTCTTTCTTTTATTTATTTATTTATTTATTTATTTATTTATTCTCTCTCTCTCTTCAGTATACTAGATGAGGGTGAGAATCCTTTTATATATGTCAAGAAGCTGGAGAAACTTTTGGAGTTGATGGAACAAGGCGACTCAGTGACACCAAGCCAGGTAGAGGACACACTTGGGGTCTACATCTCTGCCCACATGTCGGTACCAACTGCTATTTACTCCTTCATCAGAGCCTTAAACCCTGTCACCAATATTGAGGTAAGAAAAGAAGCAAGAAGTTAGATATTATGTAGGATGAAACGTTGGCACGATATATTTTTACAAATTTTGATCTAAGGTAATGCTTAGGAGCAATCTGTTATTTTTTGTGCTGAAAATATATTGGAAATTCAATAGCAGATGTGAAAGTATGATGCAAGTATTAGTCTAACAGTATTCAGAGATTCAGCATCAGAACAATTGGTTTGTGCAATACCTACCACTATTTTTTATTTCAATAAGTCTTTGAATGTGCTAACTTTATTCTTTTTATCTTTTAGTCTGATAATGCCTTCCTGAGGACCATCCACTATGCCATCAGTCTTGGTGGAGACACGGACACCATAGCATCCATGGCTGGAAGTATTGCAGGTGAGATGGCTATATTTAAAGAATTTGTTGTTGTGACTATGGGAAAAGTAGTAAAAAAGGATTGATGCCACAAATGTGAAAGGTAATATCCCTGTCTTATATTATAATGTATAATCTGTGTGATTTCCCTCTAGGTGCATATTATGGCTTTTCGGAAATCCCTGAGAGCTTTCACAGGCACTGTGAGGCTCTGTCAGATGCCATTGAACAGGCTGATCAGCTCTTCAAGATGAGGAAGCCCAAATCAACAGAGACGTGAACATTTGTTAGTTGAAGAATTTGCATTTAGTATTACCCACTTCACAGTTTTAGAGTGACATTCAGACTGCAAGGTCGCTGTACTACCCAGGCCTATAATTGATGGGAAGATGACTAGCAAACAGGTAATTTCCCATGTAGATTGAAGAATGGGGCTATCAGTTGGATAGTGTGTGGGAATAAATGGTACTTCTTATCATAGGATGTGTATGCAGACAATGACTAAGTAGTAACATGTTTTTGTTTATTCTCTTTTTTGAGAAAATAAAATTACGAAAGATATGCTTTCAAGATTTTTATTGTATATATAAGTGATAACTTTAGTGCAGTGTTGTCTCTTATTCTTTTTACGTCTAGCAATACGGCATATGTATTTTAATGTATACTGTTATTATGACTAAGAGATTGTAATTTCCAGGAAATGAATGTGTGGATTTTATATTTGATATACCTTAATTTTGGGATATACATGAATTGAGATTCATTGAGTTCCTTTGTGGCATATGACTTCATAAAAGCCATTTAAGCTGTTTCAAAATTTCCTACATGTATGTAGTTTGCTCAAATTTTTGTTGTGTGAAAATTTTCTATGTAAATATCAATTTTTCAAAATGTATAAGGTATTTATGTAAATATATATTACATTTCCATGAGCAGACTTCACTGTGACTTACATAGAAAAGGTATGAATGAATAATTAGCTTCAAGCACTTCAATGTTCTGTCTTTTTTTAGAATTACATTTAGTTTTGATGATGATGTTGCTTAGAATTATTTCAATTACATTACTTGCACTATAAAGTTATTAATTTCCATTCATACCTTTTTTACATTGCATTTCCATGTTGAATTGCTGTTCTAGAGATGTCATCAATGTCTTTGGGATGAGTACAAAGAACATGCTAGCTCACAGCACAATTGTTTAGGACCCTTTTAGCACTTATTCTCTCCAATGCAGTGCTGTAGATTCTCTGATCCATGTAATACTCGTATGTTTTTTTAATTGTCACATATCAGGAGTATATAGATGTAAAGTTACCCAATTTTACAGGTTTAGAATATGAAAATCCCACAAATATGTGAAAGTATTTCCTGGTTTACCCACTAAATACATTCCTAGACCTGTTATGTAATGAGCTTTAATGAACTTCTATGTACCTGCTTAAGAAGAAAGATTTGTTTTATGAAAATTCTCTCTTGGGTACTTTGAGGACTACAGCACCAAATTCTACACTAGATTATAAAAATAGTAAATACAGTTCAGTGTAAAGGATACCAGGATAAATACAGTGTTTTTGTGAGATGTTTTGTTTTTGGTCTGAAATCTTAAAATCTTTAAATTGCAATCAGGATTTTCTTGTTGGCTTTCTTTAAATCATCCAGCTTTTTGTCTAGTCTCACTTTTATATACAATTCATTTGAACATTAGAACAGATGAAGTATTTTTGTATTCAGCTGAAATACAGAGTAGGATATATTCAGCTCAATAATTTGATACAAAACTTCAAAGCACCCTGCACTTTGAATTTTTTTGTTTGTAATGGAAAGACAATGTGAAGCGATGTACATATTTACCCAGGCATATTAAAGAGAAAAAAATATTTTGGTGTAATTCTATTACCTTTGCATAATCTTATGGTTAATTCTTACATTTAAGTGAATTAACAGAGTGATTTACCCACAGTTGCCAGGGAAATGTGTTCACTATAGTATTGTTTTCTCATCTTACTTGAATTTGTGGGAAAAAACTTTTTTAATACTGCTATTAGTATTGATGCAGTTATTCTTATTATAATTATTTGTTATTTACATTACTAACAATATAAATTATACATATTTTTAAAAATCAAGGAAAAGGGTAAATAGTTGAAACAGTTACTTGACGGCAATTAGACTTATATGAGCGGCTGTTCTGCCAGTGCATGGCTTGTAGGCCAGGCATAAGTGAATACTCGTGTGCAGTGACAAGACTCAATGTCTCCCCTTTCTGATGTTATTTTCTGTTTATGCCTAAAAGTTTTTACTTTTTTCTATTTTCCAATGTCCATATTTGTCATTTTATTTGCTTTATCCAGATGGTAATAGACTTTTCATTGCACAGACTCCATTTCCCCCCTAAAGGTAGGAAATAAGTCAGTGAAAGAAAATTAATGAATGCAACATTTTGTTAACTTGTTCTGTCTCTCTCTTTTTTTTATATTCAATTTTCTCTTACACAACCTGTGCTGCTGGTCAGGTCATGGTGACCAGAAATACGATGCTGGGCATGGAAATGGCACCCTATCAGAGCCATTGCTCTTCCACTCATGGTTCTCAGACTACATTCTACACTCGTTCTCAGCCATCAAAGGCCCAAAAGCCCCTTTCTAAACACCAAATGAGCTATTACCCTCCAAGAGGTCTGTGCACTTGTAGTGAGTCTTTGCTCATGACAGCAAATTTGCTGCTGGATTTTCCCTTGACAGTATGTTCACTTCACCTGCCCAAGTTACATCACCCTGGCCTTCAGCTGAAAAGCTCATGACAGCAAATTTGCTGCTTTTTTCCTCCAAGAGGTCTGTGCACTTGTAGTGAGTCTTTGCTCATGACAGCAAATTTGCTGCTGGATTTTCCCTTGACAGTATGTTCACTTCACCTGCCCAAGTTAAATTTTTTCATGACGTGATGGTCATGTCATCCAGATTGAAGGGGTTATTAATCTTATAGTCTCAAGGTATACATCACATAGACATTCATTCTTCTAGTTTCCTCTGGTTATGTAGCTTCTTTGAAGGAAAACTTATAACTTTGAATCAAACATGATGAAAAGTAATATTGGATCACATATTTATCACTTTATACCTCTACCAGACTTGGGTGCTATTAATGGTAACTTTCAGGGATTATAAGGAAATAAAATAATTCAATATCAGCTTGTCCCAAGGCCTCTCCCACCTGTCTGGTAGTGCCTATAATTTCTGACACTTTTGGAATGTTTTTCTTACTTTCCTCTTTTTCCAGTAAAATGTGATTATTGTCAATAAGAAAATTCTTAAATTTGTGACAATAGGTGTTTCTCCATCAGTAATTTAGTGTAGTTAAGGTTTGTATAAGTTTATTTATAGAAAATCTAAAAGCTGATGAAAATACTATTGATATTCAAGTCTTACATTAAAGATTGTGGTAAATAAAACAAACACATTTCAAGCAAAGTCATTATTGGTTATCCATATGTTTCTACAGACTATAGCAACCCAAGCAGTTACTGAAGCATCATCAGTCTCTCACAAGTACAAGTACAAAATAGGATTGGTTCGTACCCTTACTAAAACAGAAAGTCCTTGGAGTGCAGTGGGATGCTGTAAGTCCAATATCATGTCCACATCTGCTATGGATTCTCTCTCTCTCTCTCTTTCTCTCTCTCTATCGCTCTCTCTCTCACTCTTTCAATTGGATTTCATTCTCTCTCTTTCTTTTTTCATTTCTATTTATTATCATTTTTCATTATTTTACTTTATACAGATTTATTTTGATATAGGACTGGACTGTCTGTGTTTAGTGGAAAAGCAAAGAAAAAAAATTGGTCCAAACCCTCATCACTCATACAATTTCCCAAACAACCACTGCACAAAAAATAATGATGATAATCATAATTATAATAATAATAAAAACATACAAAAAGGGTATCATATTACACCTGAAATATTAGATGTATGGATGGGGAATTCCTACCCCAATAATATGCTAAAAATGACAAATCATATAAGATCTGTCATACATTTTTTTTATTGACTGGGATGAGTAACATTTTAATGAAGCACATGTAATTGGACGATGGAAAAAAGTAAGTGAAAATCAACAATGTATTTAAATCACCTGAGTTATGAGTTCTTTATTTTTAAAAAACTTCTTGATAACTGGAATATACTTCTATTTCAAAAGGCTTTCAATATCAGCTGGAGAGATGAATGAATGCATGTATGAAGGTATGTATGTATCTTTCCATATATCTTGGCAGAAAGATTGGACAGCATCTGCAAAGCTTCCATTTTTTCCAATAACTTTATTCTGCAATTAATCCAGTTTTTTCCATAAGTGAAATAAGGGTAAATGATATAGCAGCCAGACTAACTAATAAGGTAACACACACTAACTGAATCATTATCTATCTATCTAAAAAAAAAAAAAAGAAAAAAAAAAAAATAGAACATAGGTATATATGCATAATGATATGAAGAAAAATATATATATATTACTGAATATTGTAAATACTGATAACAAATACAGCAAACTGAATAACAGATGTATAGCAAAAGGTGAGAAGTGGGTTTTCTTAACCAATTCTATATTCTTAAATGGTTAAATATTTCTTATGTACAACCTCATGATCAATTTTTCTGTTTAAGATTAAATTTGGACCATTTACATTGAAGAGTCAAGCAAGTCTTCAGAAACTCACAATGAATTATAAAAATAATAATAATGATAAAAAAGTAAAAGGCAAATCAAAATTCCAAGAGCTGTTTATAACAGGGGTGTCAAAAGTGTGGCTCGAAGGGGCCAGTTTTATTCTTCTTCCTTTTTTTTAACACTCACAATCAACATTTTTCAGGTACCATTATAATATAAATATGTATCTAAAATTTTCTTCTCTGTACAATTCTCTTTACTTTTTTCCAAGAAACATTTCTATTAGTTTTTTTTTTTGTTTTTTAATAATGAGAGAAGAAGAAGAAAAAAACAGTCTTTGATTTTAAGTTTCAACCGAGGTGACCCAGGAGTCACCAGGAATTTTCCACTGACCAAACCTGTGACTGTGACACCATCTACCATCACCCTTGCTTTGCCCATGTTAATAATTTACTACTATTAACAGTGATCCTTATGTTAAAATATTCAATAAAGGAGGGAAAGCAAGCTACCAACATGCAAATGTCATTATGGATGTCGTTCATACCTGAGGACTTTCAACTTTTGGCACATTGCCCTAACATTAAACAAATCTCATAACACAACCAGAATTCATAAAAGATTAGTAACATTAGGTTTATCACATCACTAGATATTTCTTAATCTTCTAGAATGACCTCAGAATGAACAATGTCCACAAGGCTTAGTTAAAAAACAGACAAACCACAGAAAAAACAAAGGTAGTTTTTAAATGTTGTGCTAATGACACATGCAAGGATGCTATTGTCACATCCCCTTGTCGATCAAACACGGTTGGTTTCTATGCTGATAATCTAAGCGAGTAATGCTTCTTGTCTATACAATAGCAAAGATTTTCAATTTCAGCCATGCGTTACTGCACTCTTAAAGAGACAAAATATGTAATAACAAAGAAATGAACAAACTGGAGAAATAACAAATATTGAAGAGTGCTTGTTTAAAATTCATGCTGAAACTAAGTCTTTTCCAGCATGTGCTAAAAAAGGCAAAAACAGGAATTAATTATTAAAATACAAGCTATATAATAGCATACAACCAAGAAAATATCTGTTAGTATCATTAGAATGCAGGAATTTTATACTGATGCTAAAAAATTTAAAGAGTTAATTCTAATAGTTAATAATGTATTTCTTTGTGTAGGGAACTGAAAAATGGAAATGTAAGGAGCATTAAGAAAGGAAACACACAACATTCATATATACAATTTCTGTACACTAAGCTGTTTTCATGAAGACCTGCTTGACAAAAGCAAAGAACAAATTAATCATGGATCAGAACATGTTTACTTGTATAATGAAAACAAAGATGGGGAACGAATTAACAAGACATACCCACACCTGGATATCATGACTAATTCGCTTAGATTATTAAAATTCCCCTCCCTGGCCTGCCCATCCCTAGTAGTGTAACATGAGCTATCCAAAGGCATTAGAATGGAACTCTCTTTTTTTCTATATCTGATAATATGCTCAGTTAGGAAACTTTGTCCCTATAAGATCTGGACATATAAAGGGGTAAGTTCTACCTGATATGGTCTTAATAATGTAAAAAATTAATACCCCTACAACACTCACTGTTTGAAATGACTGATATGACAGTGTGGTTTCTTTGATAAAATTTCTTTTTGATCAACATCACCTTGAAGAAATAACTACACATCGCTATTATCTTTTCTAAAAAAGGCTTGTAACATAAAAGTTTAGTTTTACTGAGCAGGTAAAGTGAAAGTTTGGATTACACACTAATATAACAGTAAGACCTGGCTCACTGTAAGAAATAAGACATAAGCACCAAAGAAACTTGATTTTTTTAACATTCAGAGAAAAATAGGCACAAATCGAGGCTTTTTTTATATCTCTATTCTATAAGTGTACAAAGTTTCTCTTTTCTTGTCCATCTGACCACCCCTCGCTGAAGAGCAGCTCCACTCCAAAAGCTGAAACTGCCTCTTTTGGAAGTAGATGGGGAGGCCTGACTAACAATACAAGCAGGTTTACTAGCACAACACTTACTGGCTGGAACATCTTTACAACCTCAGAACTCATTTTCTTTTTTAATGCTAAAATCTATTACTGGTACTTATCCATGTAACAATGGTTAAAATATAAAATATATACGTTGTCATTTAAAAAAGCACTGCAGTCAAGACAACCAATGATATTTTCTTGCCATGTCACAATTCTAATAACATAATAGAGTAATGATAACAGACAACCATATTTTCCCCCACCTCGGGCAGAATAATCCATTATATGGTGTAAATACCATGTTCTGGCATGGTGGGATCAGCAGCATCAATTCTCACATAAGTTTTGCATGTGATGGAACAATCAAGTGAGGAAATTTCTTCCTAAGGTCACCACAACAAAAGAACAGCATTCGCTAAACTATTCTCAATAGACACATAAAATTTGACATGCCCCCTTTCCCCCCTCACAAAAATCTCAAAACAGGAGGGAACTCCCCGGAAGGAAGTGAGTTTAGCTTTAAACATTATACTGATCTGGGAAAGCCCCTTTGGCAGTACTGTCGAGAGGAGAATGTTCCACCTATGAATCACAACCGCTGATCGCACCAAAGTTCAAGCTCATTGAGGCACTATTTACAGACAAGTTACAATTGTCAATATACAGGTGAGATTAAAAGAATGTAGCACATGTCCCAGATCTTGCTATAATTTCTAGATGTGTAGATGCAATGTGGGGAACCACAGATAGTCAGCTTTGGCAACTCTCCTACGAGACTGTTTTCATATTTACAAAATAACGCAAAATAAGGCTTATAGAAGTAGTTATGAAAGCTGGTAATCGATGATGCCTTCCCCACATTCGTGTAGATCACTGCCCAACAAAAGCACCAGAAAAAAAAAAAAAAAAAAAAAAAAAAAAAAAAAACTTAAGCATCAGGAAGCATACATAAATATATCAAAGGAAGGCCTACTAAAGAGTTCTAGACCTCAACTACTGGAATTACATAAAAAAGATAATAATAATAATAATAAAGGACTAGAAGATATGAAACTGGGAAAAGTTACAAGCACAGATAACTGGTATTCAAGGTATTTTCGTCCACTGGTCAATCGTACACAACCAATGCCCACCCAGTCGAGGAATTTTCCGGCTAGAAAAGCAGCTCTCAAGAGTTTTTGCATAGCCATCACTTCACTTAAAAATATATATATATATATATTTAGATAAAAGATCCACTAAGATTTCTCGGCTACATGGACAAAAAAAATTTTGTTTGCTAAAGGAGTGAAAAGTACAAAAATTACAATTCAGAAATTCAACCTAAACAGAAGTATTTGCTAACAATATAAAACACTACACATATTGCCTTCTTTTTTTTGTTTTTCTTTATAAATACTCTGCCTGTGGAATATATCAAAGCACCTTCCACACACTTTTATCATTCCTGTTAATCTGGTGGACTTTGGACTAAAAACTATTATCACCCAAAACCCAACTGTGAGGGTGGAGACTTGGATATCTTTTGTGATGTACATTTAAACAATTGTTTATTCTGCTACATAAGACATTGTAATTTTTTTATTCTTTTTTTTTTATATATTTTTTTAAAGTATTCCTAAAAATTTGACAATTCATCTAAAAAGCATGCAGATTGTAGAGATCAATTTGAATGACATTTACGGTTGTTGCTTTTAATCTTCATCTTTGATTGTTCTTACAGTAATACATTTATGGACAACTATTCACTGAACGTAAAAAAAAAAAAGAGGTGAATGATTGAGCCAATACAAAACCGAGTGGTTGGTATGGTTTCCCTCACAAAAGGAATCTAGTACTGTGTAAAATGACTATGAAATAAATATTATAAAGCATTAGGATCTCTTTAGAAAAGCTTGCATCGCCTCTTGAGGTCATTTCTCCTCCATTCCGGAAGGCGGTAGAAGTCCATGCGTGACATGTGGAATATCATTTCAAATTCGGCGTCTGACAGGTGGCGCTGAAAGAAAAAAAAAAAGGAAGAAGCATAAGTATGAGGCAGTTGAATGATCTAAAAGTATTGTATTTTCTGAACTTGAATTTATGCAGTATACCAGGCTGGATTCTTTGGAATTCCTTTAGGTCTTCATTTAACAAGATAATAATTCAGAAGCAAACACACAAACCTCAAAAGAATGCAATAGGTATACCCAAGAAAGAAGGAAAGAAATAAAAAAAGAAACATTAAAACGAGAAAAAAAATCCTTATAAAACAGCTGACATCAAGACCTACCTCCAGGTGGCAGCGATCCACGTCATTGGGCAGACGATAGTTGGAGACGAAGAGAAGATGTGCAGGGTATATCTTGGGGGGCTCGGAGGACATGTGGTGCATGTTGGGCAGTGATCGGCGGAGGTGGGGGGAGTAGGAGGTGTAGCCACGGAGGCCACTACTGTACGTTGTTGATGCACACAACTCGGCGTTCTGCAGAAAGAAAAGGTGAGCTTCTCAAAGGAGGGAGGAAGGGTCCAGTGATGGGCCCAAGAGGCGGGGTATGGAAAGGGATAAGTATGGCAACAGTAGAATTAGTGTCGCCACTGCCATTCTTGATCTTGACCATCACTAAAACCTCTCTATAATAAAAATCCTAACAA